ACAGATGACAAAATTAGTAGACAAGGACATTGTAATAGTTGTAGCTATTTCATAAGTTAAAAGCTAGTTTAAAGACTGAGCATATTAAATAGAGACATGGGCCGAAACCGGTTTGGCTCAGTGGATAGAGCGTCAGCCTGCGGACTGAAAGGTCCCAGGTTCGATTCCGGTCAAGGGCATGTACCTGGGTTGCGGGCACATCCCCAGTAGGAGATGTGCAGGAGGCAGCTGATCGATGTTTCTCTCTCATCGATGTTTCTAACTCTCTATCCCTCTCCCTTCCTCTCTGTAAAAAATCAATAAAAAATATTTAAAAATAAAAAATAAATAAATAAATAGAGACATGGGCCCTGGTTGGTGTGGCTCAATTGGCTGGAGTGTCGTCCCATGCACAGAAGGGTCACGGGTTTGATTCCTGGTTAGGGCACATACCTGGGTTGTGGGTTTGGGGGTGTGTATGGGAGGCAATTGATCAATGTTTCTGCCTCTCTGTTTCCCCCTTTCCCTCTTCCTCTCTCTAAAAATCAATAAAAACATATTATTGGGTGAGGATTAAAAAAATAAATAGAGACACAGAAGATAAAAACAATGATCCAATTAAAACTTCTAAAGATGAAAATTATAATTTCTGAAGTGAAAAATATAGTAGACAGGATTAGCAGTAGACAGGCATTGCAGAAGAAAAAAATCATGAACTTGAAGACATAGCAATAGAAACACCCAAAATAAAACAGAAGAAAAAAATCATAAATATAAATATACTGTGATAAATGAATGATGAATGAGCAGTGGGACAACATTAGGCATTCAAGAATACAGGTAATTGGAGTCTCAGGAATGTGGGGGTGGGGATAGAAAAAGTTTGGCTCAGTGAATAGCAGTGCATAGAGCAGGGGTCCTCAAACTTTTTAAATAGGGGGCCAGTTCACTGTCCCTCAGACTGTTGGAGGGCCGGACTATAGTTTAAAAAAAAAAATTTGAACAAATTCCTATGCACACTGCACATATCTTATTTTGAAGTAAAAAAACAAAACGGGAACAAATACAATATTTGTATTTGCATGTGGCCCGCGGGCCGTAGTTTGAGGACCCCTGGCATAGAGTGTCGGCCTGGGACTGAAGGGTACTGGGTTCAGTTCTGGTCAAGGGCACGTACCTGGGTTGTGGCTCGATTCAGGCCCCACTGGGAGGCCTAGGCCTGGGAGGCCGGGAGGCAAGCAATCAATGTGTCTCTCTCACATCAATTTTCTCTGTCTCTCCCCCTCCCTTCCACTCTCTATAAATAGAGGGGGGAAAAATATCCTCAGGTGAGGATTAACAAACAAATAAACAAAAACTAAGATACGGAAATCTGGACACACATAGGGACACCAGGGGCATGCTTGCATAGAAGAAGGACAGTGAAAAGGTTGCCACAGCAAGCCAAGGAGAAAGGCCTCAGGAGAAACCAAACCTATGGATGCTTTGATGTTAGACTTCTAGCCTCCAGAACTGTGAGAAAATGAACATTTAAGCCAGTGGTTCTCAACCTTCTGGCCCTTTAAAACAGTTCCTCATGTTGTGACCCAACCATAAAATTATTTTCGTTGCTACTTCATAACTGTAATTTTGCTACTGTTATGAATCGTAATGTAAATATCTGATATGCAGGATGGTCTTAGGCGATCCCTGTGAAAGGGTTGTTCGACTGCCAAAGGGGTTGCGACCCACAGGTTAAGAACCGCTGAAAGTGATAAAAAGAAAAAAAGAAAGTCCTTTGAAGGAAGGGCAACCTGGCTTCTTTACTGCCTATCTCTTTGGCCTGGGGCATGTTAGTCAACTTCCTGAGGCTCAGTTCACTGTCTCTAAATTGGAGATAAGAACAGTGTCTACACTGTGAGGTTAGGATTAAATCAGACATAGCTTTTTAAGTGTGAAGTAGAATGCCTAGCACATATGCAATCATTTAACATTAATGATCAATTTTACTACTGTTACTTGTATAATTTTTTTAAAGTTTCTACATGCATTTGGCTTAAGCTTTTATGAAACATAAATTAGGCTGACCTGCATACTGACATAAGTAATGGCAGGTTGAAAACAAATAGAGAACTGCAACACTATACATTAAAAACCAACCCATCTGCTTCTTATAGTTTCATCTGTGTCACACTTCCATTGACACTGGGATTTACTGGGCTTTAGTTACTTTATTTAGCATTTATATTTAAGAAATATCCATAAATCTGTAACATTTTGAGTGATTTGAGATAATTTATTTATATCTAAACATTTATCTTTAAAAACTGTATTAATAATATATAAGAAGTTTAATTAATCATTGACTAACTCATTTAACAAATATTTTTGAGAAGTTCCCTTAAGCAAGGCAGTGTGCTAGGCACTCTTTTCTTTTGGTATGAAGTTTATCTCATAAGGCCTCTATAAAATGTTTTTCTATGTTGGTAACACAACTAACAACTTATTCACATATACCAAGGCTTCACATTTTAAAAATTTCTGGTGTTTTTGAGGATGGGTAAACTGAAGGTTAGTGCTATATAAGTAAATTTATAGAACATCAATTGGCCATGGGAAATTAAAAAAAGAGTTATGTATGCTCAGGGTTATCTTTTAAAAGATAATATTTGTTGTCCGGCCAGAGTGGCTCGGTTGGTTGCAGTATCATCCTGTGCACCGAAAGGTTGCTGGTTCAATTCCCAGTCAGGGCAAATGCCTGGGTTATGGGTTTGATCCCTGGTCGGGGGTGTGCAGGAAGCAGCAGATCAATGTTATGCTCTTGCATTGATGTTTCTATCCCTCTTCCTCTCCCTTCCCCCCCTCTCAAAATCAATTATATATGTAACTCTAGAATAGAAATGTAATGGGGAGATGATAATGCAGTTTTTCTAGCAGATACCCTTCTTTCAGCTGATTTATGTTTCTCACACCTCTCTCTCTCTCTTTCTCTCTCTCCCTCTATCTTTCTCTCTCTCCCTCTCCTTCCCTCTTTCTCTCTCTTAGTATGTCCTCTGGTGAGGTTTGAAAAAAAAAAAGATCATATTTGTTGATAATTTCTAAAAGTTAATTATTTACCTCCTTCATAAGGAATGTGAAAATATGGACTTTATCCATTAAAAACTGAACATTTAAATCTGTGTTAATTAATACATGATTGTGCTTAAATACATTTCCTTTTTATATATTTCTCTCCACACTCTCTACTGCTTATATAAATGACTTCTAGTATCAATGAACATGTGAAAAATTCACATATACATGTTTAATAAGGTACATCTAAATATAAAATGAAAATCTAAATATAAATTTTCTTATCCTATTGATATACTAAAAATATTATGTCTTGGAAACAACTGCTACAAGGCAAGAGTTTAGAACAGCAAAACAGGCTTACATTTTAAAACATAGTTAATAAAAGATATCCTTCAGGCAAATTCTGACTTTCAGAGTCAGGTAAGAGAAAGTATAGCTGCTAATATAACAAAAAACAGTCTTTCTGGATAGTGAAATTACTTTTTAAAAAAGGTAAACAGCCCTAGCCGGTTTGGCTCAGTGGATAGAGCGTCGGCCTGTGAACTGAAGGGTCCCGGGTTCGATTCTGGTCAAGGGCACATGCCTGGGTTGCGGGCTCAATCCCCAGTGGGGGGCATGCAGAAGGCAGCCAATCAATGATTCGTTCTCATCATTGATGTTTCTATCTCTCTCTCCCTCTCCCTTCCTCTCTGAAATCAATAAAATAAATAAATAAATAAATAAATAATTTTTAAAAAAGGTAAACAAACAATATCTATATAAATTCAACTTTGGGAAACAGTGCATTTAATCTTCAAACTTTTTATGAGATTCCTTTGAGAATGTTAAACATTAAAACAACCTAATAAATTATATATAAGAAAACATGTGCAACAATAAGTTAGATTCTCATGTAGATTAGGATATAAAATAATAAATGTAATAATTACATTTACAATGGCTACTAAGTTGTTAAGATTATTTGGTTGTTTATTTTACTAATAATCTGAAAGGCAAGGTGGTTCAGCTGGGATAAGAAGACCACCACAAGGACGGACCATTCCTGTGGGGAGACCCAGGAAGATGTGAAGATGACACACTGAATGCCGACATGCCAATCCAAAGCACTCCAACCCCTGCAGAGACACACCCAGCCTGCTCTCATTCTCGGAAGTTGGTGCAGGAAATGGCACATCTGTAACCATGCAGAACCACAAACCTCATAATCTTCATAAACAATCTCATACTAAATCCTACCGTAGGAGTTAAACCATGGTTTTCAGAATTGGGCCAGTGTTCTTAGCTGTGAGAGTAGGTTGAGGAACTAAAGAAAAAGCCAACTGTTTTGGTAAGACCCTAAATCTAGAGAATAGTATCAGCAACCCTATATGATAGTATATTTATTATGGTTAACAGTGGTGAAAAGGTAAACTAACAAGAGGAATGGCTCATTTTTATATTTCTGTAATACAATTAAAAAGAAAATGATTATAGTAGACAGCACTAAGCATCATAGAAAATCATAGATTCCACAATAAATATGTCTAATTGCCAAAATCAGTAAATAATTCACAGGAATCTTATGCACAATAGAACAATTTTAACTGGACTTTTATGGTTTACCTGTTTTAATTCTGAAAGTATACCTTGTGGAGAAAAACGTCATTGGGTAGGTCTAAAAAATTTTAAGGGTTCATTCACATCTCTATAGTTTTGCAATAATGTTCCAAAGCAGCTACCAGTACTTGGTGAGATAAATGCACGTGTGGGGCTTCATGTCAAGCAACAGTTTATCTGGCATCAGTAATCAAACAATTACGAAATGGAAAGTACATCTTGTACAAGCTGACAGATCCATTAAATCAGGAGAGCTATGGGCAGACATACTGACACTGCAAGAATTACCAGAAAGCATTAATTTCAGCATTAATAAAATGACAGTAAATAGATGACAGCTGCCAGATGAACTAAGAAATAAGGTTGCTGGCCTTGTTAAGCTCACGTCTGATTTTCTCAGGCACAAACTGGTCGAGGTAGCGTCTGAAGTGAAGGGCATCGATGGCGACAATTTCAGTGCTGCGCCGCTGCCAGTCGTCCCTGGGCAGGACAGGAGGGAAAGATGAGGGACAGCGAAAAGCACTCACAAAGTAAAACCCTCAGGTTTCCTAAGACACTGGCAGGGTTAAAATATTAAAAACAAACCCATGTCATAGATCTCAGAAAAACAGGAAGGCAGAAAACACTATTTTATTTTAGACTCCACGGTACACATTGTGGACTGTCAGGCATTATACAGCAAAATGAAAAATTATGGAGAGACAAAAAATATGATATATTGTAAACGGGTACATCATTTACAGTGAGTCTCAGGGGTTAAAGGATTTGGGGGAAAACAAAAAAACCTTAGGTCTTTGTTTTCCTCTAATATTAAAGATATGGCATTTGTATTTTGACAAGAACTCATTCCTCCTCTGTTTTGAAAGATCTCCTCTAGGTCACTGGGTCTGTAACATCACCGTACATCACCCAAGAAATAATCCCAAGAAGTCAAGTGTTACAACATGTGTAACGATTCAGTACAACAGTCTACCTACTGTGCTCAATTGCTGACTGTGGAAATATTTTTAAAAAGACAAAAACAGCAAAGCAGACAATAACACAAAGCAGCACAAATAACACGTTGCCTGTGGAAATATGAAGGAAGCGCTGAGATGATTTTGAAAACATAAAATTCCAAATATTTCATCTCATAAATTTGCACATATTGATATGCCAAGCAACGTTCCACTCTGAAGAATAGCAATAAAAACCTTCATGTTAGTCTGTAAATAACTATCATAAGTTAAGCATCCACACAGATAACTACTGTAACCACATGGTTTAACCAAAACAAAGGGAGATGCCAGGGGCTGGCCTGAGATGACAAAGACTAAATCTGCACTGCTGCAGCGGCCATGACCACAGGGGCAGTAGCTGGTGATTTCTGCCACTTGGCTTTTTTTTTTTCCCTTAATTCTTTCTCCTTTTTCACCCAGTCCCACAATGCTCTTCTCTTCTGACAGCTGTCAGCTTGTTCTCCATCTATGAGTCTGTTTCTATTTTGTTTGTTAGTTTATTTTGTTCATTAGATTCCACATGAGTGAGATAATTGTCTTTCTCTGACTGGCTTATTTCACTTTGCATTAATACTCTCCAGGTCCATCTATGCTTTCACAAAGGGTAAGCTTTCCTTCTTTTTTAAGGCCCAGTAGTATTCCATTGTATAAATGTACCACAGCTTTTTATCCACTCATCTACTGACACTTGCATGCTTCCATATCTTGGTACTGTAATGCTGCAACAAACATAAGGTTGCATATATTCTTTTGAACTAGTGATTCAGGTTTCTTAGGATATATACCTCGAAGTGGAATCTCTGGGTCAAAAGGCAGTTCCATTTTTAATTTTTGGAGGAAACTCCATACTGCTTTCCACACTGGCTGCTCCAATTTGCATTCCCACCAATCCCTTTCCCCACATCCTTGCCAGCACTTGGTTGTTGATATACTGATGACGGCCATTCTGACAGGTGTGGGGTGATATCTCATTGTGGTTTTAATTTGCATTTCTCTGATGTTTAGTGGTGTTGAGCATCTTTTCATGTCTATTGGCCATCTGTATGTCTTCTTTGGAGATGTGTCTATTCAGATCGTTCGCTCATTTTTTATTTGGGTTGTTTGGTGTTTGTTTTGGCGTTGGGTTGTTGGATATTAATCCCTTATCAGATGTATCATTGGGGAATATGTTCTCCCATTCAGTGGTTTGTCTTTTCATTTTGTTGATGGTTTCCTTTGCTGTGCAAAACCTTTTTAGTTTGATGTAGTTTCATTTGTTTATTTTTTCATTTGTTTCCCTTGCCCAAGGAGATATATTAGAAAAAATATTGCTATGAGAAGTGTATAAGATTTTACTCCCTGTTTTCTTCTAGGAGTTTTATGATTTTCAGTCTAACATTTAAGTCTTTAATCCATTTGAGTTTATTCTCATGTATGATGTAAAAAGGTGGTCTAGGTTCATTTTTTTTACATGTATCTGTCCAATTTCCCCAACACCATTTATTGAATAGACTATCTTAATCTGATTGTATGTTTTTGCCTCCTGTGTCATAATTGTCCATAAAGTGGGCTCATTTCTAGCCTCTCTATTCTGTTCCATTGACCTATATGCCTGTTTTTATGCCAGTAACACACTGTTGTGATTACTATAGCCTTGTAATATAGTTTGGTATCAGGTAGCCTGATATGCCCAATTTTGTTCTTCTGTCACAAGGTTGCTGTGGCTATTTGGGATCTTGTATGTTACCATATACATTTTTGGAATATTTGTTCTAGTTCTGTGAAATATGCTATTGGTATCTTCTTAGAAATTGCACTGAAATCTATGGATTGCTTTTGGTAGTACAGGCATTTTAATGATGTTAATTCTGCCTATCCAAATGAACATGGTATATGCTTCTACTTATATCTATCTTCATCAATATCTTTCATTAGTGTCTTATAATTTTCCAAGTACAGGTCTTTTACAGCATTGGTTAAACTTATTACTAGGTTTTTTTACTTTTCTTGATGCAATTGTAAATGGGACTGTTCTCTTAGTTTCCCATTATGATAGTTCATTATCCTATATAATAAAAGCCTAATATGCTAAGTGTCCAGTCGTCCAATCAACCAATCAAAGCATAATATGCTAATGATATGCTAAGGCCACTCAACTGCTCACTATGACGTGCACTGACCACCAAGGGGCAGACAGTCAAACAGTCGATCAGTTGCTATGATGTGCACTGATCACAGGGGGCAGACGCTCCGATCAGTAGGTTAGCTTGCTGCTGGGTTCCAGCTGATAGGGACTGAGTGAGATGAGCCAGACATGCCCTGGGGCCCTCCTGCGGTCCTTCCCAGGCTGGCCAAGCTCCCGCATCCCTCCCCAGCCCCGATCATGCACTGGTGGGGTCCCATGGCCTGGCCTACGCTCTCTCGCAAGCCGGGCTGAGTGACCCCCGCCCCTCCGCCCTCCGAGTGCATGAATTTCGTGCAGCGGGCCTCTAGTTGGTGTATAAAAATGCAACTGAATTCTGGTATTTATTTTGTATCCTGCTACTTCACTGAATTCATTTATCAGTTCTAGTAGTTTTTTGTGTGGAATCTTTAGGGTTCTCTATATATAGTATTATGTCATCTGCAAATAATGGCAGTTTTACTTCTTCCTTTCCAATTTGAATGCCTTTTATTTCTTCTTCTTGTCTGACTGCTGCGGCTAGGACTTTCAGTACCATGTTGAATAAAAGTGATAAAAGCAGACATCCTTTGTCATGTTTGCAATCCTAAGGGAAATGTTTACAGTTTTTACCCACTGAGTATGATGTTGGCTGTGGGATTGTCATATATGACCGTTATTATGTTCCCTCTATTCTGCCTTTGCTGAGAGTTTTTAACATAAATTGGTGCCAGGTTTTATCAAATGCCTTTTCTGTATCTATTGGTATGATTATGTGGTTTTTATCCATTTTATGTATATGGTGTATCCCATTTATTGATTTGTGAATATTGTACAACCTTATCCCTGGAATAAATCCCACTTGATCATGCTGTATGATCTTTTTAATGTATTGCTGGATACGGTATGCTAGTATTTTGTTGAGGATTTTACCATGTTCACCAGGCATATTGGCCTACAATGTTCTTTCTTTGTGGCACCTTTATCTGGTTTTGGAATTAGGATAATGCTGGTGTTGTAAAATGACTTTGGAAGTCTTCCCTCATCTTGAGTTTTTTAGAATAGTTTGAGAAGACTAGGTGTTAATTCTTCTTTGAATGTGTGGTAAAATTCACCTGTGAAGCCATCTGGTCCAGTACTTCTGCTTGTTGGGAGTTTTTTTTTATTACTGTTTCAATTTCACTAGTTGTAATTTGTCTTTGTTCAGACTCTCTGATTCTTCCTGATTCCGTTTGGAAGATTGTATGTTTCTAAGAATTTACTCATTTTGCCCAGATTGTCCAATTTGTTGGCATATGGTTGTTTATAATATTTTATTATAATCCTTTCTATTTCTTTGGTGTCAGTTGTTACTTCTTCTCTTTCATTTCTGATTTTATTTATTTTGATCCTCTTTTTTTCTTGATAAGTCTGGTTAAAGGTTTGTCAATCTTGTTTATCTTTTCAAAAAAACAGGTGTTGGTTTTATTTATCTTTTGAATTTCATTTTAGATTCTATTTTATTTCTACTCTGCTCTTCATTATTTTCTTTCTTCTATTCACTTTGGGCTTTATTTGCTGCTCTTTTTCTAGTTCTTCTAAGTATAAAGTTAGAATGTTTATTTAGTGATTTTTCTTATTTCTTGAGATAGGCCTGTAGTGCTATGAATTTCCCTCTTAGGACTGCTTTTTCTGTGTCCCATAGATTTTGGGTTGCTGTGTTCTCATTTTTATTTGTGTCAAGGTTTCTTCTGATTTCTTCCTTGATCTCACTGTTAACCCATTCATTGTTTAGTAACATGCTAGTTAGAGTCAATATCTTTGTGTGTTTTTCAGTTTTTTTTTCTTTTGATTTATTTCTAGTTTCAAAACCATTCTGGTCAAAGAAGATACTTGATATGATTTTAATTTTCTAAATGTATTGAGACTTATTTTGTGTCCTAACATGTGGTCTATCCTAGAAATGTTCCATATGCACTCAAAAAAATGTATATTCTGCAGCTTTGGAGTGAAATGCTCTGAAGATATCAATTAAATCCTTGTGATCCAGTGTATCATTTAAGGCTACCATTTCCTTGTTGATTTTCTGTTGGGAAGATCTATCCATTGATGTCAATGGGGTGTTAAAATCCCTTACTATGACTGTATTACAGCTAATCTCTTCCATGATGTATGTCCATCTAGTTTGCTTTACAGATTTAGGTGCTCCTATGTTGAGTGCATAAATGTTTACAAGGGTTATATCCTCTTGTTGGATTGCTCCCTTTATCATTATGTAGTGTCCTTCTTTGTCTCTTATTATATACTGTTTTAAAGTCTATTTTGTCAGATATAAGTATTGCTACCCCTGCTTTTCTTTCCTTTCCATTTGCATGAAATATCTTCTTCCATTCCTTTACTTATAGTCTGTGTGTATCTTTTGTTCTGAGGTGAGTCTCTTGTATACAGCATATATATATGGTTCTTGTTTTCTTATCCATTCAGCTACCCTTTTGATTGGAGCATTTAAGCCCACACTGGCTCTTCTTCATTAGAACACACACACACACACAAGCATCCAGGTTCCAGTTGCATAAAAATTCACCTCTGTTAAACCAACTTATTGGGGAAGCAGTATCATGTAAAAATATATTTCAATAAAAAATAGAAGATAGCAGCAGCAAAGTTCACTGTAATTTCTGCTGTCAATTGTTTGTAGCAGTAGGCAAATTGTCTGAACATAGATTCCTTCACCTACCTAGCCTCCCAGAAAACGTAAGGATAACTACTTATGCTGTTTAAGGGTTTTAAGCTATAACTATAACCAATTCTAAATAAGTCTGTCCTTGGAAGTTAACCTCCATTGACTGCTTACAATTGGTAGCTAAGATGCAAAAACTGTAAAGAGCTCTGCTCGTCCTGTTCTTGATTTAGACTTTTGGCTTTCATTTCTTTTTGATATATGGTAATACTGTTTTAACTACTAATGAAGCTGCAATACTGAATTTTAGAAGAAAGTTAAATTTCTGAAATAAGAATAGATGGCAGAGAGAATATACGAGGCCACATTCTTTAGCTTCTGGCCATGCGATAATCAAGTCAGAAATGAACTCACCTTTCATTCCCATCTTCATGGCTCCGGGCCCAGCGATAAGTTTCAGCATAGCCTGTGTATTCACTGTACTGTTCAGTACCTGAAAAAAAGAAGCTTCCAATACTATTTTTCAGAAATATTTTCTTAAAAGCTTCACCTTCTAAAAAAAAAAAAAGCCAACAATAAAAAATCACTGGTCTTAATGATTTATTATTTTTCATGAAGAAATAATAGAATGCCTCCAAAAATCGCTACAATGTTTATCATACAGTGACTAAATGTCTCAACCAATACAGTAAAAAAAACATGTTTTCAAATTTATTTCCTTCTTTTAAGAGGAGTGCATAAAGACTGTGTTTTATACAAGTCCACTGTTTTGAATGTCAGTAATCTGATAATACTTGGTATTGTTGAGAAAAGAAATTTTACATAAAGACATTCCCTGCTTCCACAACAAAATCCTAGCAAATTGGATCCAGCAGTACATCAGAAAGATCATACACCATGACCAAGTAGGATTTATCCCAGGGATGCAAGGATGGTACAATATCCGCAAATCAATAAACGTAATATATCACATAAACAAATTGAGAGAAAAAAACCACATAGTCATATCAATTGATGCAGAAAAAGCATTTGACAAAATCCAACACCCATTTTTGATAAAAACTCTCAGCAAGGTGGGAATAGAAGGATCATACCTCAACATAATAAAAGCCATATATGACAAACCCACAGCCAACATCATACTCAATGGGCAAAAACTAAAATCATTTCCCTTAAGAACAGGAACAAGACAGGGATGCCCACTCTCACCACTCCTGTTCGACATAGTACTGGAAGTATTAGCCATTGTGATTAGACAAGAAGAAGAAATAAAAGGCATCCAAATTGGAAAAGAAGAAGTAAAACTGTCCTTATTCGCAGATGACATAATATTGTACATAAAAAACCCTAAGGACTCAATCAAAAAACTATTAGACTTAATAAATGAATTCGGCAATGTAGCAGGATACAAAATTAATGCCAAGAAATCTATGGCATTTCTATACACCAATAGTGAACTTACAGAAAGAGAGACTAAAAAAGCAATCCCATTTACCATCACACCAAAAAAATTAAGATACCTAAGAATAAACTTAACTAAAGAGGTAAAAGACCTCTATTCAGAAAACTACAGGACGTTGAAAAAAGAGATAGAGGAAGACATAAACAGATGGAAGAACATACCATGTTCATGGATTGGTAGAATCAACATCATTAAAATGTACAACGGGAAACCATAAAAATACTAGAGGAATCCAAAGGCAACAAAATCTCAGACATATGCCGAAGCAATTTCTTCACTGATACAGCTCCTAGGGCATTGGAAACTAAAGAGAAAATAAACAAATGGGACTACATCAAAATAAAAAAGCTTCTGCACAGCAAAAGAAACCATCAACAAAACAACAAGAAACCCCACTGCATGGGAGAACTTATTTGCCAATGTTATTACCGATAAGGGTTTAATCTCCAACATTTATAGGGAACTCATACAAACTTAACAAAAGGAAGATAAACAATCCAATAAAAAAAATGGGCAAAGGACCTAAATAGACACTTTTCAAAAGAGGACATTCAGAAAGCCAAGAGACATATGAAAACATGCTCAAAGTCACTAATCATCTGAGAGATGCAAATCAAAACAACAATGAGGTACCATCTCACACCTGTCAGAATGGCTATCATCAACAAATCAACAAACGACAAGTGCTGGAGAGGATGTGGAGAAAAAGGAACACTCGTGCACTGCTGGTGGGAATGCAGACTGGTGCAGCCACTATGGAAGACAGTATGGAGTTTCCTCAAAAAACAAAAAATGGAACTCCTATTTGACCCCGTGATCCCACTGCTAGGAATATATCCCAAGAAAACAGAAACACCAATCAGAAAGGATCTATGCACCCCTATGTTCATAGCAGCACAATTCACCATAGCTAAGATCTGGAAACAGCCTAAGTGCCCATCAGCAGATGAATGGATTAGAAAACTGTGGTACATCTACACGATGGAATACTATGCTGCTGTAAAAAAGAAGGAATTCTTACCATTTGCAACAGCATGGATGGAACTGGAGAGCATTATGCTAAGTGAAATAAGCCAGTCAATGAAGGAAAAATACCACATGATCTCACTCATTTATGGATAATAAAGACCATTATAAACTGATGAACAAAAATAGATACAGAGGCAGAGCAGCATGGAACAGACAGTCAAACTACAGTGGGAAGGCCGGGGAGGGTTGGGGGGCGGTGGTGGGGAGGGTAAGAGATCAACCGAAGGACTTGTATGCATGCATATAAGCATAACCAATGGACACAAGACACTGGGGGGTAGGGGAGGCCGGGGATTATCAAGGGGGCAGGGGAAAAAAAGGGACATATGTAATACTCTTTGTAATACTTTAAGCAATAAAACAAAAATTAAAATAAGAAGACATTCCCTGCTAAAACAAATGTCATTATAATTAAATCTAGGCCCTAGCTGGTTTGTCTCAGTGGATAGAGCATTGGCCTGCAGACTGAAGGGTCCCGGGTTTGATTTCTAGTCTGGGCACATGCCCGGTTGTGAGCTTGATCTCCAGTAGGGGGCATGCAGGAGGCAGCCGATCAATGATTCTCTCTCAACATTGATGTTTCTATTTCTCCCTCTCCCTTCCTCTCTGAAATCAATAAAAATATATTTAAAAAATTAAATCTAGAATTTTCCAATCAATAGGCAAGGTACTTCAAAAAAGCCTTGTAAAACTAGGATATAATGGCCTGAGAAGAAAGGGAAGAGGAAAAGTATAATTAATATTAATCTGATGAAGACATGAATCAAACTTGCCACACCCATAACACAGATTTCTAATTCATCATACCTGAATATATCAGGAGAAATGGTGTCAGATTGTTCCACTATTTAACTAAATAAAATTATTCCAATTCTTATGGTCAACTCAATAATCACTTGACTTTTCAAGAATTAAAAAAACAACAACAGTAAAAATGAAAAGCTGAAAACCCTGGGCAAGATAATACTTTGAAATATAAAAAAGAAAAATAAAGAAGAAGAAACAATTTCTGATCTTCAAAAGTTACTGTTACAATAATGAAAAGAAACCACATATACCTGATAAAGGACATGTATATACATATATACATACATACCAGTATGTATATATGTATATAGATAGCACTTTTAAAACTCAACAATAAAAAACTCAATTAAAACATGGACAAAAGATTATTTCATATGTATAGCTGTATGTTAAAACCTAATTTTACACTTCAAAATATATAGTTTAGTGTATGTCAATTATACTTCAACTGGTAGCCCGGTGCACGAAATTCGTGCACTGGGGTGGGGTGGGGAAAGAGGCCCCTCAGTCTGGCCTTCACCCTCTCCAATCTGAGACCCCTCAGGGAATGTCCAACTACCTGTTTGTGCCCACACTTTTAACAGACAACAGCTCCATTGTTGTTTCTTTCTTATGCTTAAAACCATTGGAATTAGTAGGTATTCAAAGTGTGTATACATTTTGGGGGGACACCCTGTATATCTCTAGTCAGTGGTGAAAGAAACCAACAGCAGATTTGGAACCCCCAGTCAGGGAACCTTGCTCACTCCCCACGTCTCCCCACTTCACTTTCCACCTTCGTGGGCAACAGGAGAATCAACGTTTTCTCTCATTAATTCGGAAAAGCACGTCCTGTCACCCGTTGCCCTCTGGGTTCTTGATCTTGAACGCTGACCGAAGGCACCTCAGCGAGGGCCGCCCGCGCCCACCAGGTGTGTCTGTCTGCACCTGCTCCTGCCTCAGCACCTGCATTAACCCCTCAGAGGTGATCTCGTAGCTGCACTGGCTTCCGTGGGAACAGGGCATCACCACTCGGCCCTCTCACTGTCATCTCACAGGCGCCCACCCTCAGCACCCAGAACACTCAGACACTCTCCAAAGGACGTGAGCGCATCAGAGGGGATGTGTGCACATCCTGTGGGGGGTGTTAGGCATGCCGGATGCCGGGTTGATGGAAGTGCGGTGGAGAGGCGAGGGGAACTTGTGCACGCCTTGGTTTGCAACTGTTGCAGGCGTGGGAGGGTGACAGTGTGCTGGGGGATGTTCACACGCCAGGGGGGGATGTGCACACCGGAGGCCTCTGGCTTTGCAGATCCGCAAACCCCCGTGGTGCGGCCAGGAGGACGTCAGTCTGGCCCGCCACGGTGACTGTCCCTGCGATCCTGCACCTTCTGGGCCAGGAGGCGGATCTTGCGCGGTCACTCCTGGGCGCTGATGGCCTGCAGGCTCTACGTCAGCTCAGCCTGCAGGCTCCGCTTGGCACGCTCACAGCTGTCACCACCACCATGTGGGAGTACAGGCCGCCTTCTGCTAGCCTGCCTCCCCTGTCCAGAGGCTCTCTGCGCTGCTCATCTGCACAGAGTGACTGGGACTGGGCGGAAGCCAGGCATCCTGCCCTGCCCAACCCTGGCTGATCCGCCCCTGTGCGAGCTGCCTCCCCGCCGTGAAGGGTCACGGATCCGGGTCCCGGGACCGTGCACAGCCTCAAGCACTGCCCCCCGCCCGGCAGGGTCACAGATCCGGGTCCTGGGACCGCGGACAGCCTCAAGCACTGCCCCCCACCCGGCAGGGTCACAGATCCGGGTGTCGGACTGCGGACAGCCTCTCGTGGTGCCCCCCGCCCGGCAGGGTCACAGATCTGGGTCTCGGACTGCAGACAGCCTCCCGTGGTGCCCCCCGCCCGGCAGGGTCACAGATCCGGGTCCTGGGACCGCGGACAGCCTCAAGCACTGCCCCCTGCCTGGCAGGGTCACAGATCCGGGTCCCGGACTGCGGACAGCCTCCCGCGGTGCCCCCCGCCCACCAGGTCACGGATCCGGGTCCCAGACTGCGGACAGCCTCAAGCACTGCCCCCCGCCCGGCAGGGTCACAGATCCGGGTCCCGGGACCGCAGACAGCCTTTCCCGCTGCCACCTGCCTTCAGTATGCAAATTAGCCGCCATCTTGTTGCTTCAGGGTGGGGGTCCCCACTGGGGTGCCTGGCCAGTCTGGGTGAG